ATATACCACGAACCCCCCGAAACCCCAACCACACACACACACACACACACACACACACACGAAAAATTTAAACAAAACAAAAACACAAGAAGAAAGGAGGATTTTCCTGTCAGGGAAAATAAAAACACCCTCACATTTTATACCAATACATTGGTATGATATAAGATAATTTGTTAACATTTGTTTATTGCTGTTTTGCTGGTAAGTGGAAAAAATCTTCAACAGCAAACATTTAAAAGATCCCTTTGGCTCTCATTGATAAGAATATCAATAAAGCCTTTTTTATTTTTTGCATACACAATACACTGCATAAACAGTCTCCTGGTAATACAACTTGTGTTTGCTTTCCCTTGTCCTTTACTACTAGGGACATTTGCACAGAAACAGGATATTTGCTTGAGAACCCATCTGCTCCTGCTGCTTATTTCCCTGTTGAAATCTTGTGTTAGTTTTCACAGCAACCAAATGTAATGTCAGAGACCTTGTTCTGATGCAGATATTAGTATTCAAAAAATTATGGTGTTAGGGATTTCTGTAGCTATGATTTTTAAATTTGCCTACCATGAACAAAGTTACAGATAAAAGATACACCGGTAGCCTATTTGAAAGAAAGAGGGTGAGGCATAGAAAGAAGATATGCCTAGTTAAGTCAGACAGGCTTAGGGCTTGTCTACACTGCCCCACAGTTTGAACGACAATGGGGTAAATTACATAACACCAGAATGCTGCACTGTAACTCCCCATGTCGACACCGTGTGCGCAAATGAAAAGTACCTAGTTTCATTAAAGTAGTCAATAATGTGAACTAGGTATCCTTTTGTTTGGCCCACAGCATCCACACAAGGGAATTACAGCACAGCACTTCAGTGCTTGCTGTAATTCACACACCCCATAGTCTGAGGTGCAGGGCAGTGTAGACATGGTCTCCCTTGTGTGCTTAAGGCTATCTTATCCCCTATTACTCTTAACCACCATGCAGGTAGCTATAGATATTACCCAGCATATAGTACATGAAACACTGACATTTTACAGTCTGATAGTATTTTTATTAGAACCACAAAAGCTAAGTTAAAAACCATACATTCAACCAGAAGACAGCTATTTCAATTGTAAAGCAGAAATTCAGAAAGTACTTCTTTGCATTTTCTAAGAAAACACACCATTAACCAGAAGAACAGAGTCTAAAAAGAGCTATGAGCCTGACTCTTCCCTCTCACAAATCAGGACCAACTCCACTGAAGTCAGAATTACACCAGCATAATTCAAGGAGACGTCTAACCTTTCCCCTAGGCAACTGAAAGCAAGAATCAGTTATAGGAATCTGGACTAAAAAATACAATGGGACAAAAGGATTTTTGAGAATGTGCCATTAAAGAGATGATCACACAGCACAACAATGATTCCACAAGTAGGTAAGCTTATTGTCAAAGTAACAGTTAAGATTCCCAAGTGTTTTAAATAAACTTCCTCCTATCTTCACCTCATTACTAAGCCACGCTTCATGAGATTATCCAAGAACTGAGTGATGGGGTTAAAGTAACACCTTATTTTCCATACAGTTTCTAAAGTAATGCTTTTCATATCTAGTAGGTTACAAAAATGACTGTTCTGGTTAATTTGTGGACAAGGTAACAAACATTTTTGAGGCTCCTTATACACAGGGCCAGAAAAATGAGTAAAAGAATCAAGTTTTAAAGACCGTTTAAGTATGGTTCTAACACTGGCTAGCTAAACCACATGAGAAAGTGGTATACTTTTTTTTATTTGGGGGGCGAGAGCGGGGGGTTGGGGGGGAAGAGAAGAAGAGGAGTGTTAAAACCAAATTGAATATAGGACCAAAACTCAGTTCCTGGTCAATTATACACAGGATCCAGAAATACGTGTTACTTCATTTTCTTTGTAGAAGCAATACAGTTGGTATGAATGACCACAGGTTACTAGTTGTGAGTAAAGATAAATACTTCTTATCTGATCTTAAGAGACACTACAACCTGGAATTCTTGTAAAAACCAAAGAATTTTTTTGCAAGCCTACTTAGTTGAAAACAAAATTTAAGTTACAAACTTATGAGGCCAAGTTCAGTGCCTAATTTGGAAATTCTTATTAATAAAATCATAAAATCTGTTCAAAACAGAAATCCTCAGCTATATCAAAACTAAGACAGACAAATGCATTTACATGATTTTCCCCACAAGACTCATCTAGGATCATAAGCTATAGTGGAAAAAGGAAAGATTTTAAATCTAACATTGCTTGTATTGAAGCAGCTAACTCACCATATTTGTCTCGCAACCCAACAGTGCACCTGAAGACTCCACCAAAGGCTACATCTTCACCAAATATTACTGCAAAATAAAAAGTCATACATAGTTTAATTTTATGAATACAAACCCTCATCTAGTATGAAAATGATAATCCTATTTATTCTAGTCTAACCATTTATGAACTGTTAGCACAGTCCTCACCTGAATTTTACTGTTTCCATTTACATTCAATATCTTAAGTTTCAACATTCATGACTGAGCAAGAACAAGTTTTAATAGGTTTCTAAACAATTTACTGAATATATGCAACTATAAAATATTATATAGTTAAAATGAAAGGCATTGAATTTTAGATGTTTCATCATACCCAAAAGGACGGTTAATTTGACACCAAAGTACTGTATTTTTAATCAGCATTAGCAATCAAGATTCTCCCCCTCCCCCCCACCACCACCACCTCTCCTACAGCACTACCTATTTAAAAAACAGTACGTTAAACAAAAGGAGAGCCACAGGAAGGGGGAAAACATTCTATTTTGGGCCAGAGAGTGTGTTTAAACTATTCTAGCTATGTTTCAGAAACTACTGCAGGAACATTTCAGAAAAATATTTAAGTAATACCACAGCACTTGAGTTACTACAAAGTCATTTAAAAATTCCAAGAAGGTTAGTGTAGGACACTAACCAAACAGCCACTGAATTTAGACATTCCATTTTAAAAAAAGTTTAAGATCTGATACAATCTTTCCTTTTAATCAAAAATAAAATGACATCATAAGTAAGGACTCCTCATCCATTAGTTTGTAAGCTTCAACTGGTTTCATTTCGCATTTCATTTCTACGTGATTTTAATGCTCCTGAAAAATGCTGAACTGATCACCACAAATGTTAATTGATCCATGAAATAGCAAGTTTCTCCAAACGTCCCACCCATGTGCTACAATCCTGATCTGGAGGTACCACCTTTAGGGAAAAGAAGGTAGTCCAATAACTGTGCAAGTTGCCAGTTTAAATATTCACCATTATTATGCTCTTTGCAATGTGGACTAGGAACCATACAAACCACCAAAAAGCCATTAGACAGCAAATGGATCCAAATTTTAAAAGCAGTCTAGTCCTTTCCCTTAAACTGGTTGATTGTATAACTTTGATCTCTTTTAAAAAAAATAATTTTAGGATTTTTAGGGCAAGGCTACTTTATTTCTCCTCATTGAGAAATACATTTATATATTAAATATATAAAACTAGAGGGGTCTGCAGCCTTTTGCAATACATCACAAGATGTGACTTACATCTGCTGGCCAAGTTATTCAGTGCTAATATCCCCCAAATACTTGCATATCCTAAGGGATGGAGAGCTCATTAATTCCCTCCCTCCCTCCACCAACCATCTTTACAGAAGAAAAAAAAACTGGCCCTCTGTATCTATGTTAGAGCTTTTAAATAAATGTGGGATAATTCACCACTGCACAAGTTAATAACCAGACAGATTCACAAAACAGAATAGCAATAATGATGCAAGAACAGATTAATGATGGCATGCTCTTATTGACTGAGATATGCCTCCAGTCTATCTTCCCAGATTTCCTTGTTAATTTGTTTTGGCTGGGGCTTGCCTTGCTTTGGTTTGTTGCTATTGTGGTTTTACTGTTTTATTTGTTTTTATGCTTGAGGTCAGAGTCTTTACAAAGCCTTTCCCATTTAATATGGCTACTAGTTTTGTGTCAGTTAGTACAGGAAACATCAGTGCTATCATACTGCTACTAGAGCACATGGAGTGGAGACCTATCCTTTGTAGTCATTGACAGAATGTATTCAACCAGGCTATGCACAGATTCATGGGAGTTAGATTGGGCAGCTAACCTTCTCATGAAGGTGGATAGAAAGATTTCCATCCACTTCATTGGGAACTGGATCAACCAGTTATATAAAGCAACAAAATAATATTTGTTAGTCTCTAAGGTGCCACAAGTACTCCTGTTCTTTTTTTGAAAATAATATTAGGGATATATCTTATCTTCTACTGCAAGATTAAGTACTGAACATACAAAGTAAGGTGAAATTCATAGCTCAGATATTGGCTCTAAACTGAAGTCTTGATCCTACAAGGAATTCTGCATGAGTCCACCTGTGCAAAACTCAGGATGATACATGGAAAAAGCAGTTTTCCAATACACTGGAACAGTCAGCTCGCAGATAGAAAGCGGATTCCATGAGAATGCTTCAGAAATCTTATGTGCCTGGAGTCATCTCACTTTTCCAAAACTAAGCAATTCAATAAGGCAAATCATGGCATACATACAGAGGCAGGGAACACATCCAGGCAGAGACTTATTTGAATGCTTAACAGATTTTTTTTCATACTACATGAGACCCTTAGTTAGGACCACCAAGTCCAGTAGCCTGCCTCCAATAGAGTCAATACCTGAGGTGCTGATGCTTTATGAAAAAACCATAATAGATTTTAACAGCTGTGTAATTGTGTTGAGGGGGACTAATCTCTACCATGATCACCTTGCTTCCTAGAATACCTGATTTGATGTGCTTTACCCTAGCATGAAGTCACAAATTGAATAACTTTGACCAATAACAGTCTTTCTAAAAATCTGGCTACAGTACTCCATTTTCCTTTGTGAATTATCTACTTCCAGAAGTATAGATCAAGATTACAATGGTTCTCCTCTATTCAATCACAAATATGTGGTCTATAAAGAGTTCTGTCAACATGATTTTGGAGGCAAAATACTACAGAAACTCTATACAGCTTTTAATCAGCTGGCTAAAAGGTGAGTCAAAAGATAACACAAACAACAAGGAGTCTGGTGGCACCTTAAAGACTAACAGATTTATTTGGGCATAAGCTTTCGTAAGTAAAAACCTCACTTCTTCGGATGAGGTTTT